AATGATTGCAAAAGAGAATTGGGTTGGTTGATTACTTCTAGAAAAGAATTAATTAAAATGCAATAAGATAAAGAGTAAGTAAGAAGGAAAGGTCTTGGGGTGTAGAGATCACTACCAAACAATACTATTCCAAACCATAATCAAGTGACTAATGAGGGAAATGAATGTGTTGCAACAATGTTGTGTGTGTAAAAGACATTCAATTGGTAAGGGTGACTCAACAAGTGCAAATTGTCTCAATCAACATGTGTGAGGCCACAATACATCTATTGGTAGAGGAATATATTGTCTAGACATCATATGAAGAGAACAAAATATCAAATCAAGTCATTGAACCTTTCATTATGCTCATAGTCCAAGCAATCCATAAGGATGACTTAGTTAAACATGCATTATCTAAACATCATTTGAGAGGTACAAAATATCTATTGGGAGAGGAATAAATTGTCTAAACACATGTGAAAGATACAACATATCATAACTAGTCATTAATCCTTCATTAAGCTCATAATCCACATACAACACAATATTAGAGGAATATGCTATTTGGACTCACAAGCATGGAACATCAAACATCAAGAGTAGATTGTCCTCCCATCTAACATTACACTACCACTACACTAAATCTACACTACTAGCATGAAAATAAAGCTATCTAGACTAGGAGAGAGGCACAAACCATCAAGAATAGGTATAAACCATCAAATGAACCAAAATAGCATTCATTAAGCATATCATCTTGATAATCTCTAGATCTATGGCATCAATACACATAGACATGCATCAAAAACACTAAATCTAGAGATAAGCACATGAATATCCTACTCTAGCATACATAGACATATGGATAGAATAGAATAGTCAATTGGAAGCATTAAACCATACAAACCATGAAATAATCAAGATTTATATATACATGAATATCAAGATGTATCATACAACACTAATCCCTCAATAATACACAAGATTAGAGTATAGAAAGCATGCTTGGGGCTAACTCTAGCCCCAAGAGGATGTCTAGCCACTCATGGTAGTGATGATCCAACCCTCAAGGGCTAACTCCATGGCTGTTCCTTGTTAGTGAAGATCTCCTCCAATGGTGCTCTAGCTTCCCTCCTTCCTCCTCTCCAAGAAGAGCCTCCAAGATGATTTTCAATGTGTGACAAGAGACTCTAGACTCATTCTCTCCAAAAAGTGTATCATATTCCTTATATAGGTAGGTCAAATACACCCTATGATGAGCTGTGGTCGTGCAAGGCATATTCTCCAATGATTGGGTGAAGGACGGAATAAATGAGCTGGACTTTAACTTTTTCTCGCTGGAGGAAGTTTGATCGATCGAACCTTAACTTGGATCGATTGAAGATGGGTTCGATTGATTGAACTGCATCTTGGATCGATCGAAGTGGTCTGACTCCTCCGGATAAGGACAAGGGTGAGATATTTCGAAGATATTTATGGGGAAAAGGACAAAAGTGGTTGGTAGGCGTACAGCTGTGGATAAGATCAATTATTTGAATAGGACAAAATAGGGTTCGATCGATCGAAGGTGATGTTGGATCGATCAAACTTTGAATTTCAGCAAAGGCCAAGGTTGGATCTATCGAGAAGTACTGTGATCGATCATAGATGTTCGATCGATCGAACTCTAAGTTGGATCGATCGAACTTTTCAGCTGCACAACTTAATTCCTTTTTATTCCTTTCTTTCTCCACTTTGCTCCCTCCTTTGGTTTATCTCAGGATTGCTTCAATTAAGCTCTTATTTGGCTGAGTTAGCTCAATTTTGGGATTAATGCCTGAAAATATAAATAACACGTAATAAGTCTAAAACGGCAAAGTAAGATAGATAAAGGTACTAGAATGCTTAAGCTTAACGGGTTTAAATGCGCACTTTTCGGTGCTCATCAGAAATTATTTGATTGTGGGGTACTTCATGATGAGGAGATGTGCTAATGAAAGAAGTTCAGCTAAAGGAGTCACCAAAAATTGAGAGGAACGTGTGCATACATGGACACATGTGTATAATATATACAGTATAAAATTTTATGAAGGAAAGGACTCTGTGTAAGAGAAGCAACCATTAAGACATGGGACACCTAGCAGCTTGCAAGCGTGCAAAGTGTGGGTTGTTAGTTCTTCCATCCAACTGCCATTACTAACTGATAGAAGTTTGTATGATCATGGACAACGTGGCTAAAATGCTCGTACAAGGTGTCTGAAATGAAGAAGAAGAGTCTATGCACGTTGAAGAGTAAACAAAACATGGAACATAAGGGATCTTATGGAAAAGCCAAGTGGAATGATCAACTCCAACTAGTATCAAAACTGTCCACTACTCATAATTGTGGAAATTTTTAGGGGATATGGTGGAAGTCTCTCAACTACTGCTAAAAACTGTCGCCTTTCCATTTATGGCAGTTCCAAAATGTGGGTCAAGGCTTGCAAACATACATTTAATCACCAAGACCATTATTTATAAGTTGTAAGTCATGAGAGAAAATGATTTTACACGTGTCAACATTAGGAGAAGGTTAGAAAATCAGCCAAGTGGAAGTTGCTGAAACTACTACATTTCCAACTGCTGCAAGAAGGCTCTATAAATAGAGTACTTAAGCTTAACATGCAAACCATGTTCAATACATACAACAGTACATCATCTTTGCTTATCAATTTCATTTAATGTATCTTTACATTCCAGTAATGTATTTCAATTATGTCTAATTTAAGTCTAGCACTTTCTTTTCCTACTTTCCAGCAAGTAGTCTATAGTACTTTTAATTGTAAGTCCTGCACTTTCAATATCGTCTTTCTTTCCACTAGCTATAAAACAGTCCAGAAGTCATTTTTCAAGGTAAAAAAAACCTTTGAAAGTGGTTATTCCAGTCCTTTATACAATCGTCTGATCCCAAACTTCAACTGGAATATTGTTTGGAGCTTTACTTTGGAACGATAGCAATTGCTGGCACGCCCACAACGCAGGCCCTTTCCATTCACCCGAAAAGTGGAACCTAAAAAATTACCAACAAAAAATTGGTTCCTCAAAATGTTTCGGTTTCAATCTTCGATGTTTTTATTTTGAAATATGTGTAAAGAAGAAAGGATATAGTCTCATTACATTATATATGTATATATATATATATATATATATATGACAATTTTGCTTAAGTAGGTGCTTCAGGAAGAATAAAGATGTAGTAATGCAACTATGAATTTGATGAAGAGTTGTAACTTGTTGACTTGGGGGCATTGAAATATGTGTAGAAAAGAGACAATAGGCTCATTACATTATATAACTCATATAAAACCCGAGTTCTTGTCCCACATCGCTCAAGTATAACAAATACTTGGCCTTCATATACACGTGCCTAAGCTGATTTAGCTCGCCGGGCTTAGTCACGAAAGCCTGTAACTCCAGTGAGGGCATTAAGTTGGTTGTAGGTCTGTCTGAATCAGAAGGGGGCCCGGTGGGGTGAAACTTTCTCGGCTCGCCCTGTCTAAGTAAGGAGTTGGGTCATGGGTCCTAGTCGAAGGAGGACATAGCGTCAGGCTGGTTTCACAGAGCACAGCCAGCGTCAAACCTCCCGCTCCTTTTGGTGGAAGGACAACGAAATGGTGCACCTCCGGTCCAACATTTGCCTAATGACCCTTTCTCGATCAAACCCCCAACTTTTTTATTTTATTTTCGGGCTCGGATATGCACATATTTATATTATCTATTGATTTATTTGGTTTGTAACGAGCTTAATTTATGAATTTGAAACTAATGTTTACAGGATACCTTTATGAAATAGTCCAATATGATATTGCAAAGAACATCCTGGTTTATGGATTTTATGATGGTGAATACAGTGACATTCTCCATGTCATTACTTTAGTGCCTTGTCCTTGTAAATGTTGTGTAAAACATGTGAAATTGTTCATCATTGCAGTTCTAAAATCTCAAGGCATGGAGAAAATCTGCTCTTGGCAATCTTACATTAAGTAGGTGCTATATTTGTTGCAAGATTTTTTGAAGCAACAGTAAAAAAAAGTGTAGCAAGTTTGAAAAATAAAAAAAATGGCTAGTTGAAAAGGTTATTTTATTATTATTTTTTATTTGTAAATAGTGTTTTTCCTAAGGTACTATTCTTTTTTTAGAACATTAAGATATTATTCAAATCGCAACAAATGTTACTAAACACATTTCGTATTTTTGCTTCGTTACAGTACACTGTCCGAAACAAAAAACAAACACAAAGCATAAATGATTGCCAAACAGACCCTATGGATTTTCTTTTTTTCTTTACTAATTATTATGTATGCCAATACCACTCTGATAGATGTGTACCGTCTATTATGCAGAAGCATGATAGCTGGGTGGGATGGACTGGTAAATGCTCGGATTTCATGTAAAGGTAAGAATGCAAACTGAAATGCATTCTTAGCAACTACTAATAATTGTGATTGTAAAATAAGATAATCAGCAAATGTGGAGCAAACATGTGTTCCATGTAATTTGTTCACAATTGTATGTAGTTCATTGTTGATACTTGTCCCTCATTCCCACATTAGCTTATGAACCCCAAGTGGGCATGACTTCGATTTGAAATTGGACGTAATTTCAATTTACCGATTACTCCACGAAATTTCATCTTACTGATTAATTCCTAGTCTCACTGATTCAATAATTCCAAATTTCAACTTACCAAAGCTCTATGAGGCTCACCAATTTAGTATTTCGTAATAGGGCTACTCGATTCAGTATTCCCAAATGCAACATGAATGATAGGAGGAATATTAAAAAATTTGTTATTTTGAATAAATGAACAAAATTGTAAATCTGGGATACTCCTATTTGGTCTCTCGGTAAATGGGCAAAATTGTAAATCTGGGAAAAACTGTGTTGATTTTGTTGACAGCTTGAAATTGAAGTGAAAAAAAAAAAAAGAAAAAAAGAAAAAAAAAAAGACCTCACTTCTATACAATGTATATGAACCTATACAAAACATGCTGCACATATGAATGTCCAACGTATGAATTATATTTCCAAGTAATGAATTAAAACTCACTTCTAGGACAGTCACAACACTCACATACCTGTTAACCATAACAGATACTTCAAAACTCCAGTATTAACAACCTCATGACCCCAAAAAAAAAAATGTCATACATATAAAACCACTATACAACCCCACTTTCACCAGAACTGAACTTGTGTTCATATATCCATATTTATGGTCACAGCACGTCTATACTATAGGCGGAAGAGGCGCCAATGGTGGGAGCCTCATGGAATAGACTAGCCCTTTTTAAAGATTGTCAGAGAGCTTAGCTTCAAGAGAGCCGGGTTCAGTGACAGGAGGGCTGCAAGTGAAGTTTTGGCACACAAGAGCAACCACCTTGTCAGCAGCGAAGTTATTCTTAGCCATTAGGGCAATCTTATCATTGTTCCCGTCCCAAAATTCCATCTCTTCTGCGTCGGCCGGGTCTATGTGAATTACCTGGCAATACGTTGCACCAGGATGCATTAACATATGAGGTCCGTGTATTCGGATTGAAATAAAATATTGATGAAATACTCACAGTTCTGTTGGGATCATATGATGCATGGGCAGCAGAGAGCATGTTTTCGAACTCTGAAGACGACTTGTTCCCTACCAAGACAACTTGCTTCCGTGAAGGGACAAATAGCATATCAGCAGCACAGCACATCAAAGGCACAGCCATAGCAGCCTCTTTCAATCTTGTCTCGAAAACTGCCTGTAGAATCATTACATCAAAGCCAGATAATTGGTTAGAGTACGTGTTAAAGTTGATTCAGCTCAACATGCGAAACATTTTTGTGATACAAGGGCGAACCAGAAGATGCTCTGCAGTTTTCCTGTAATGATCCGACCTACTGCCAGAAACCATGGAGGCCAATCTAACAAGATTGATCACTGAGACTGAGTTTCCAGATGGCTCGGCACCATCGTGATCTTCTTTCACACGAAGTAGAACAGAAGGATCTTGCCCTGGGGTATTAAAATAAGCGCCTCCCTCTTTATCAAGAAACAACTCATCCTGAAAATAATAATTTTAGGAAAATTAGAGATGAAAAAACAAACTGATAAATTGTTCCTATGCGAAAAGCACGGGTCAATAATTCTTGCCTGGATGTCTTGCAGTTCAATTGCCCATGCCAGCCAAAAGATTGCACCACCAAATTCATAAAGGTCCAGCAACCCTGAAATTAGAAAGGCATAATCATCTAAAAATCCTGGTGCTTTAGATGGGCCATTCCTAAAGCTATGTTGCAGTCTGCGAGTTTGCTTATTGTAAAGCTGCTTCCTGATGAAAGATGCTGCCTTCCCCGCAACTTCCATGTACTCCTTCAGCTGAAATTCACGAACACATTGTGAGAAATGATCAAAAATACATGCAGAGCAACTGCCTCATAATCGATCAATTAGATTACCACTCTCTTGAAAATGATATCATAGAATGAATCACACAGACCTAAAGCTAACCACACATCAAGCCAGATAGGATGAAATCTTACATCACAACCAACAACAGGAAAGTTGTACTTGGTCCCTTCAGATTCACCCTTGAGAATTTTAGAAGCTCGGGCAAAAGATGAAATTGCAAGTCCATTCCATGAGACAATTACCTAGCAAGTCATAATGTGCACGATTAGTAGGATAATATTTGAACAGCGTTAGATAAATGCTTTTGATGAGTAAGATATGATACCTTGTCATCCAAATGCGGCCGCGGTCGTTTCGATCTCACATCAAAAAGTTTTTGACGACAGATCCCTAGAATTTCAAGATATTTCTCAACGGACAAACCAAATTTTGATGCCATTGCGGAAGTACTGTTTCTCTCTATGAGCACATTTTTTCCCATGAATTCATTGTGAGGATCACTCATTCTAGAGAGGTCACAATTCCCCGATTGTTTTATGTAATAATGTTCCTTGAAAAGAGTTGCATGCTCTCCAAGTATGTCATCGACCTTGGCAGAAACAAAGCAGGTGAAAAAAAATAAGGTAAACAAAATATATAACATACAGACCAAGCAGTAAAATGTTATGAACTATTAATTAAAAATTGTTTAGGACACCTCCTTATTTATATATATATATATATATTAATTATATACTTGTTGCAAAAAAAACACCATCAATATTACTTCTTCACTACCTTACCATCGGGGAATCTTCAGGAAACACGCAATGACCGAAAGCCATAATAAGTACTAGAATTTACAACTAGAGCAAGTATAGTCCCCACAACTCCTCTTTGGAGAAACCCATATACGTATAAGCCATTATGTAATGACTTCGACATGCGGACACCATTATGCCATGATTAATGGTGAGAGAAGAAAACCAAATATGTAATGTCTGTAACAGAATGGTAAAGAAGCATGACTAAAATTTTGTTTCATTACCATTGCATAATGACAGTTACTTTAGTTTAATGGCCACTACGACCTGATTCAGTCAAAGACGTGGGTCTCGGTATGTCATGTCACATTTAAAATTTCTTCGCTCTTTTCCACTTTCTCTTAATCATCTGAAACTCATATTGGGGCTTTGTATCTGTTTTGGAGGCTTAAACAACAAAATATAAGGTCTGTCAGGTCCACACTATGGGTCAAAATTTTGATGTAATTTAATTTATGGGGTTTAAGTTAATATTTTCTATTTAAAACAAATAATAATAATAATAATAATGAATCACATATAAATATGATCTCGAACTTAAGATCTTGTCATCTAACCAAAACTTTGCTAATTTTTAAAACTTCTTTTGTATTATCATTTTCTTAAATATGTACAAAAACAACAAATAGAAGGCACGTATTATTCTAGTGCTATTTCTTTTTTCTTTTCTTTTTTTCTTTTTATTTTTATTTTTATTTTTTATTTTTTAACTCTTTCCAATTCTATTCCTTTGTTTTTTCTGATCTCAACTAGAATTTAATCTTTGTTTAATCTAATTTTCATCTCAACTAATAATTGAAATGGCAAACTCACATATTTTAGCTGTCTTTAAATATTTTTAATTTACAAATAAACTGAACACAACCTTTCTCCAACTATTATGCTACGTTTGGTGTGCAAGAATGAAATGGAATGGAATGCCCATTCCAACCAATCCTTTATTTGGTGTGCAGGAATGGAATGGAATGGAATGGCCATTCCATTGGAATGAAAATCCATTCCTGGGAATGAAAATCCATTCCACAACTAAACCTATGGAATGGCAATTCCATTCCCAAGTAATTGTTTTTAAAAAATCGACTTTCCAAAAAACCCTCATATTCCAACTCCATAAACCACCAACCATCTCCGCCTTTCACCACCACCACCACTACCACTACCACCGCCTTCCACCACCACCAGCATCGCCATCGCCACTGCTACCGCTACCACCTTTCACCACCACCACCACCTTCCACCACCACAGCCACAGCCCAACACCACTGTCGCCTCCTTCCACCACCACCATCGCCGCCACCGCCTTCCACCACCGCCACCGCTGCCGCCGCCGCCTTCCACCACTGCCATCGCCATCTACCACCTTCCATCACCACCACCGCCACCACCACCTTCCACCATCACCGCCGTAGCAGCCACCACCACCGCCACCCCCACCACCACCATCGCCACCACCTTCCATCACCACCATCGCCACCTTCCACCTCTGCCACCACCTTCCACCACTACCACCGCCGTCGCAGCCACCGCCACTGCCACCACCACCATCGTCACCACCTTCCACCACCACCACCGCCACCTCCACTGCCTTCCACCGCCACCATAATCACACCACTATCTCCTTCCACCACAACCACCACACTACTGCCACCGTCTTCCACCAATACCACTTCCATCTTCCACCACCACCGCTGCTGCCACCACTTTCCACTATTGCCACCACCGCCGCCTTCCAACACCACCACCTACACCACTACCGCTTTCCACCATCCACCACAACCACTGCCACCATTTGTTTTTAAAAAATTATTATCATTTTGTTAATTTAATTTATTTGTTACTAAGAGGGATATTTTGGAGAATTCAATTAGAAATTTATTCCATTCTAAATTTTAAATTGGTCCAACCAAACACTAGAATGGTTATTATCATTCCATTCCTACACATTTCATATTTACAACCAAATAATAGAATCACCATTCCATTCCATTCTCATTCTCATTCCATTCCCACTAGCATTCCATTCCATTCCTACACACCAAACGTAGCATTAGTGTTCAGTTTCATAAATCCTATTTCTTGCCGAGATGCACTATTTAAGGCTATTTAAAGCACATGCTATCATATCTTTTCTATCTCACTCAACCAAAATCAAACTTTTTTTAACCCATGACTATTCCAACTTCTGTTTTCTATTTATTTATTTTTCTTTAGCTGGTACTTACTCCTACTCCATGTCACATGTACTCTTCAAAAGTAAGTGAATACCTGTGTCAGACACACCATACATGAAAATGGGTATGAGATATGTGTCTTGACACTTTTGGTTAGACATGCACCTAAAAGAAACATATCAAACATCTCAATTTTATTATATTATTGCTTCAAAATAAATGAAATGCCTATAATGGATACTATGTTACATAAAGACATTATTTTACTCTAGAAAATAAAATAAAATTTCTAAATTATATGAATATGTAGCAGTTTTCATGTGTCCTCTTTGAGGGTTTGACACGTCCAATGCATGGATGCATACCCGCACCCAACACAAGTACCCAAATCCATCGGTCCTATCTAGTAGTAATTGCTTAACATAAACTTTAAATAGTAAAACAGACACATATGAAACTGGAACGTAACAAGCCTTTCTGTAGTCTGTATTCTGTAGTAGTTGGTAGTTCATGTATTATTTAAGAGAAGTAACAACTCTGTGACTAATTCACAAATTATAAATTGCTTTATGAGTACACGAGTAATTGTTTGTTTGTTTTTCCCCTTAAATAGTTTAGCATTCCATAATTTAAAAATATATGACCAGTAATAGTTAACATACTTAAATACTTGGTATTAGTTGGTAAGAAGTGAACTGGAAACAATTAGAAACTTTAAATTGTAAAAATGGGATTCAAACTTAAAATTCACCGGCTTTTTAGGAGTATACTGGTGATTGAAAAAATAAATTTTAGGGGTTTACTATTGAAAAAAAAAACCACAGCATCAACTTTGACTCATGTTTCCCATTTACCGTTGATGAACACGATCATTCTATACCTGGTACCACAAACCAAAAACCAATCTGTACCACATCCTGAGGTAATGATCTAGGAACGAAGAGGCACTTAGGGAAGCTGACTACGATACTGATTATGAAAGCAAACAGGGGGGAGACATTCGTTCTGATAACTCCCATTGTTTTGATCAATCGAGCTATCTCTTGTTGCAATAAATGAGAAATTGATGAGTCTGGTGTGCAAGAAATTCCTCACGAACCAGGCTTCGTTGAAAAAATGACAAGTGACATACAAATATATGCACATCAAATATGCACATACTGCAAAAATATAATGAAACCTTCTGTTCATTAAGCAAGCTCCTGATGGTTTGTGTCGAGCTGGTTGGAGACCTGGTTTGAGATGCACGTCTTTCCCTTAATTGATAGCCCTCAGGCGAACAATGTTATTCAATGCCCATGTCAAGAGCGGCTTGGAGGGCTCTTATTGACTTGAAAAAACTCTCCCACTAATGGTACTATTGGATTTTTGATAACGGATATGTGTTACCCCATGTGGCATCCGCGAGATGGGATACGAGGAGGTACTTGATTTGGTGATTGAAGTTCAGGGCTCTCGACAGACCAAACTCTCATAGTGGTTCAGCTGACCTCGACCTAACTTGCAGAGAAAGAAAGACCATTTAACTCCCAAACAGAAAAAAGAATGAAAAGATATACCTCACTACTGGTCCATATGTAGAAAGCACCCTCCTTTTTCCTTGCAGCTCCTTCAAATTCAGCACTGTCAGCATCCTCTGCTGAAAAGATTTCGCCATTGGGTCCAATCATGTCTCTTCTCAAATAATCAAGAATGTCCCGAGATGTACACGAGTAGAATACATCTTTGGTGATGGAAAAGGCATCTAAATAAACATTAGCAAGCTGCCCTTGGTCATACAACATTTTCTCAAAATGTGGAACTGCAAAAGAGTACAGTTGTTTCAACAAATCTGTCGTGTTATAATATGCAAATATCCCCCATAAATTAGTGAAAAAAAGGGGTACAAACTTAAATAAGGTGGCAAGCATTACTAGTGGTGACAGTTGCAGCTAAGAATGCAACGATTAGAACTTAGAAATTAGAAGAGAATTCTTGAGGGAGTAAATACCATGCCAGCATTCATCCACACTGTATCTGTGAAAACCGCCTCCTATGTGATCATGGATGCCGCCATTTGCCACACATTTCAAACTAAACAAGACCATTTTCAAACTGTGCTTTGCTTCACCTGATTTTCCATTTTCCCCCAACTTTTTTGAATGATACATCATTAGTTGAATCTCGACTGGTCTAGGGAACTTGGGGGCAGAACCAAACCCACCAAACTCTGTATCATAGCTTTTTGCAAGCTTGACAGAAATGGAGGAGAACAATTAGAAGAAAAACTATATTGTTGTATGGAGCGGAGAAAGAGAGAGGGGTCCAAGCTAACACAAATGTGAAGTAGATCAAGCAACTTCACTGCAGCAGCAGCAAAATTAAGAGAGTGGAATTCCATAAGAATTCCAGTTCTGATGGTCAATCAATATTATGTTTCTCCTTGAAACATAAACCATTCAACTACTGAAAAAAGGAGATTCCCAATGCAAACAGATAGGTTACAGCACTATTCCAAAACCTAGTTGGAAAATTACATGGTGCGACCCCCAAAATGATTTTAACTAAAATACTGGGATGAAACAGGTAAACAAAATATGTCGACTCCAACAATAATAAAATAAATTAAAAAAAAAAAAAATTATTAATCAGGTAAAAAAAAAATATGTCAACCTCATCAATAAAAACAAATTTTAAATGAACTGAAAAAGTCTGAGACATTTTGGAAGAAGTAATTCATATACAATGGATATAACAGGCATATGGAGATTTTTAATGGAGGAAGTTCAAATCATTTGTACAAGAGGCATGAAAAATTGCGGAAGACCCCATGGTGTCCAGCTAAGATATTCAAGCACAAATATTACACAAGTACCATTATAGTGGAAATATCTAAGGTTTATAGGTTCTGATGCAAGGCAGGTAAGTCAAGCTTAATAATGCATTGTCTCTAGACTCCAAGAATGAGACCAATGGGGAAACTAAGCTTGATGTAGCTGGAGTCACAATACACTTGAAAAAAACATGATTCATCTATACTGGATGCCAAGGCGTAAATACAATTCTTCGAAGCACAAAGCAGCAGGGCACTTTTGTCTGAAAACGAGGGTGATCCCTCTCCCAACAAGGATTAACTAACCAGCATGCTCAATCAAATGAACTTACAAAGTACAACACCTGACAAAGAAGAACAAATGAACAGCAATTCTCCTAACATGGCAAGATCTTACCTGCTCTGCACATAGGGTCAATGCAGTTTGTGGAAGCCCATCTGGCAATTTATTTGAGATTGCAGACGCAGACAATGCTTCTGACAGTTGTTCTATAGCAAAAGCTCCACTCTTAACAAGGACGTCCTTCTTGCTATCCCAAGCCTCCTTCACCTTTCTGAAATAGAATGTGAATAAGTGAATGGGAAAGAAAAGCAGAAGAAAAAAATAAATTCAACACGACAGTAGACTAGACTAGAAAGCATTAAGATTTGAGAATTCAACCCGAACTCAAATATGTGCCACCAAAACAAATTAGAGTTGTGGACCAAAATGTCCTTACCTAAGTACAGTTTTAAACCCAGGTCTTCCACAGTTATCATCTGGGGGAAAGTAAGTTCCACCCATCAAAGGCTTCAAATCAGCTGAAAGGAAGACGCTCAATGGCCAACCACCACCACCGTATAAAGCTTGCACATATGTCATATACACCTGGAAAGATAAAAGAGCTCTCTCAGTAGTGTACACCACTAATTATTCCCTGTTTTCCTGGGTTGTTTGATTATGTTCCAAATCAAAATGTAAATGCAAAGTGAAATTCATATAACCAACAAATGAGTGCTTCTGTGATTTTCTGGACACTTTCTGTCATGAAAATTGCAACCTCATTATAAGAACTATTGCATGAGCGCCTTCAGTTACCAAACATTCACATAGTGGGGAACCACCAATTAGTTTCTTCTATTTCTTACTGAGCTAACATTTACGCACAAATTATATAGTGGCAGCTCCTTTCTCTGTGTGTGTGTTGTGTGTGCAAGATAACTTGCAGTTGAAATATGTGAAAAACTCTCAGAGCTTGGATCAAAACAATTCTTGGAAAGTACTAGTTATATAATTATAGGCTCACATACTTAGTACTTACCTTATCAACATCTGGTCGTTCTTCTCGATCTACCTGTTGTAAATGCATAAAACAGTATCCATCGAAATAGTTAAAATATGAGGTAATTAACCTATCTAAAACTGAATGGGCCAGATTAACTATGATTACTCACCTTGATACTGACAAACGAGTCATTCAGCAATTTTGCAACACCTTCATCCTCAAAAGATTCCACCTCCATTACATGACACCTAATCCATGGTTTCCCAACAAATATAATATATATATATATATATATATATATATATATATATATATATATATATATATATATATAATATAGAAAATAAATCGGCCTTTAGCCATAACCTTTAAGAAGAAAGATGAATTTCAGGATAGAGGGGCAAAATCTCACCAATGGCAGGTGCTGTATCCGACTTCAAATATATAAACACCCCAGAAAATTAAAACCCATTACATATTAGTCCAATAATTTAGCTAATCAACTGCAGGAAACTGGATTCGACCAAGGAAAAATAGAATGTACTTGATAAGAAGATGGGCACGTCTCTTTTGCGAGCTTCTTCAAATGCCTCTTCACCCCATGGATACCAATTGACCTTCACACAATCATATTCATAGGAAAAAAAAAAATGGGGCTCGCAATCAAAAATCTAGTTTAAAAAGGTCCAAACAAATTGACAAATTGAATCTCAATGAATCCGAGGCAAATAAAAGAAGACAAAAATGAATACTATGAATCTACATGTTTTGTGTTTCCCCAAGCTGAAAAACCTCTCCTCAAGCAAGTAAAATATATAATAATTAGGCAGAACGAGTTGAATTCTTGTTTATTTGGCTCCTAAATGAAAAACACAGGACTCAATTTTCCTTTTGTTTTCCTACCCTTCTTTCTCATCAACCAAACAGAGAATTAAAAAAGAGTTTTCCCATACACACCGGGTTATGAGCATGTTGAAGAAGGTAAGGACTGTGCTGGGCCGCAAGACGATTGGTGTGCTTGTGGGTCTGCGATGTGGGGTTTTGGGTTTGTTCTGCCATGGCCAGGACCTTGAAGGAGTGAATGGGTCGACGAGATATGACCGAGAAAGGCCCAGAAAGTGAAGAAACACGACGAATATAAGAGTATTCTGTAGCAGATTTATGATGGTGAGAGACAAAGTGACGAACTGGTGAAGACCATAGTAGTTTTTTGAGCATAGAATCGTATAGAAGGGTTGAAGAAGCAAACAAGAAGTTAGTTCTCGTGTGATTTATTAGGAGTGGTGTGGAGAGAGAAGAATGTAGAAATGATGCCATTTGGGCTTACGGTGAGTTGGTTCGGTGTTGAAGATGATGAGTCAAAGCTGCCACGTGGAAGGCCCCGACATTGACAAATTTAGTTGTGTAATTGGAGTATGAGTATATGCTATTCTTATTTTGAGAAAATATGGATGCCACCCTCACCAAAGTCGTCCGTGTTTGCGCGTGTACAACACGGATGACCATGGTGGCTGATGCAGAGCAAATCACGAACGACTGTGATGTGTTTGATACACCGAACAAACCAAATACCGGATTCTTTATTGTGTAACAAAAGTTATAAAGATAAGGCTGCCACTTAAGCCAGTTGGTTGGAGAAAAAAAATTATATACCAAATTAAATGTTTTATTTAAAATTTTGCTTGTGTGTCTTGTAATTAGTTGTAACTAAGTAGTGGACCATATTTTAGTTGGGGTCTATGACGACTCTGGATTTTTCAACTCAGTGTGTCCTGTGATGATCCGAACTGGATCCAAGATGCGGAAGTTAGAAACAAGACAACGGTCTCTCAAGGCACAACACACCTCTAAAACTCTAAGATGACCTTCCATGAGGTCACGGAATCCAAAGGGATAAGTGCGGAAGCAAGAGATCGGAAAGATAATAATTAAGCCCTAGGGGAAAAATAGTCATTTCATGGTGAAATGGATGCTATCAAGTATACCATTGAAAAGACAACGAAAAATTAATAAAAATGGACTCAAGAATGACTTGATTTGGAGTCCGGACGAAGAAGATATCAAGTCTTGAAGTCAAGGAAGGGAAACCCTATTCCGGTTCGAGCCAAAAACTGACACTACTTTACTAAAATATGAATAACTTGAGGTACAAATGGAATCTGAAGCTCTAATTGGAATCATTGGAAAGCTTATTTTGACGCGGTCAGTTTAGACTCAAGAACGGACTAATTTGGAGTTAAAACAAGGGAGATACGACGAACCGAAGTTGGAGGTGCAGAGCCCAAAAGCAAGGCGGGCGCTCGCCCAAAACCCACGGGCGCCCGCCCAAAACCCGCGGGCGCCAGCCCAAATGGGCAGAACCGTGGGAAATGTGCGGGGCCCTACTGGTCCCTCCCGGGCCCCCGCCAGGTGCCCCCTCGGGCCTTGTTTGACGGTGCGCGGGCTGAGTTCTAAGGCTACGGATGCTTCCTAATTGACCCGGACAAGTTTCAAAACATTCCCTAACCTCGTTCAAGCATCCAGAGCATGCTAAAACATGGGGAAACTCAAAATGACACCCCATGCATGAATTTTTTAATATTTTCATAGTATTTCATGAAGTCAAAATTTACATTAGGTGCAATATAAATGCAATTGGCCTCCGGCCTTATCTCATACATGTCAAATACAATACAAAAAGTGTAATGACCCGGTCATTTTTATTCCTTTCCCTTTCTCAGATTTTCATGGATATTTTTTTTTCCGTTAATCTTTTCCTTTCTGAGTTCAGTTCCTCGTCGCTTAGTGTCGTCTCGAGTACTCTGGAGTGATTTCCGAGACTCTTTTCTTTGGATTGACAACTTCCTTTGAGGACTGAGTCAATTCCACATTTTTTGTTTTTTGACACTATTCACTTTTTGTCCTTTTCCCTATTTCGTCTTTTTCCCTATTTTGTTTTTTTCCCCGTTTGTCACTTTATTGGCGTAACCACACTTCTTGTGTTCGGAGTTGGTTTTTGACTTCATGTATCTTCATTCTAAGTGGTTTCCACGAAATACGTATGAGGTACTCTGGTTACTCCCGGTGTTCATAGGGGCATAAATGCAAAGTTCTTTGGAAACTTTTTCTTTTCTTGGGGTGTTTTTCATAAATATCTTTTGAAGATATTTTATTTCAGATGTTTTTAAGAAAATATTTTTGGAATATATTTTCATTTTGGGCCATTAGCGCAGTTCTCACTTTTTGGAGGGGCCATTGTGCAATTAATGAAAGTTATTGCTAAATGCCTTGTTTTGGGCTTGGATTCTAGTATGGGATTCATTTTCACTTTTCATCGAGTCGCGTACTCTTAGGATTTCCTTCTAGTCGTTGTTTTCCAGTTTCAGGGTTTCTGGCCCCGATTAGTGCCAAACTTGTTTGGGGCATAACTTTCTACTTGGGACTCAGGTTTCGACGCCCTTTCTTCCGTTGTTCATATTTTCTCATTTTGAATCTTTTTCATTCATAGAGTTTTGCCATTTGAGCGCGTCTGCTCAAATTTTACTTTTTCAGACCTGGCGGGGCCCGTTCGGGGCACTTTTTGAGATTTTCTATAAAAGGGGGATGAGATATTTCATTTTTCATCTTCCCCACTCCTCTTGCATGACCTGAAGCTCCCATGGCAGCCCAAGGGAGGCTGCTACCTTCTCTCTCCTCTTTTGAACTTCATTCCTTTATCAAAACATAGTAGGGCCTTTGTGTTTATTGCTCGTCTTGGCAATATGCATCTTTCACCCTTATTAGAACCTGTTTTTGGCCACATTTTGAGTTCAAGTTTGAGGTCAAGTTGGGATTTTGGTAGGTCCTTTTTGGAGTTTAATGTTCATAGCGTTGTCCCCGACAAAACCCTGAAGTATCGTCGGATTCGGAGCCGTTTTGTTTTGGTGACTTTTGAGATTTTCATCTCAAATTGAGGTAGGGGATGTTTTAGGACTATCTATGTGTTGTATTGAGTGTTTTCCATGATTATACAACTTATATGTTTGCCTTGTATTAAATCTAGAAAGTTAGTAATAATTATTTCTTTGTATAAGATTTAATTCACATTATGATGTATAAGTTAGATTTAAATTGTGGCATGCTAGAAAGTTTAGTTTTAATATGTTTGTTAACATATATTAAATTGTGATTTATTGAATAAGAATTGCACTTTTTATTTAATATTTTTCTTTGTGAAAGATTAATTCCCATGGCCGTTCCTTGCATGAAATTAAGTTGTGACATGCTTTTAAATTAAGTCTTGGCATGTTTGTTAACATACTTTAATTTGAGAGCATTTGGACAAGTATGAAAATCTAGAGATTTTAAATTAAATGACTAATTAAAATCTATTTAATGGTTCCCTTAGCCTAATTAAGTTTTTAACTTGATAATCATGATGACTAGGACTTGTCTACTAGTATATATTAAATAGGGACCATTTGAAGTTGCTTTGAAATTTAGAAGTTTAATTATCATGATATAATTAAATTCTACCTTATTGTACCATTGGCCTACTTGATATTTTAGTGAATGTGTGTGGATACCATGCTATGTTGTTTAACATGTATAAATTGCGGGCCATTTGATTGAAATTTGAAACCTAGGGAAATTAATTAGTTATTTGATTAATTTCCATTTCTATTGCATTATTGATTAAATCATGTATTTGACATTGATAATATGTTTAAAGCATGATTTTAGACTTATAATGAATTTATGAGTTATGTTTCAATATTGGATTATATTGTTTTAGGATGTAGCGAATTGCACACTGAAGATTCGACATGTGAAGTTATTATAGCGCGTAACGAATCGCGCTCTGAAGATTCAACATTGTCATCCTATAGTAATTGTGGATTTAGAGCATGTATTGTGTGGTTTCAACCTACTTGTGCATGGAATGTAGTTTCGTGCTGTATATATATATTTCGCATATAAGTTATTAACTTATTTATTTTGGAGTCACTTGGGACATGGTTACTATAACATGGCTAGCGTTTGGCTTTTGTGTGGGAGGTATGAGTTCTTCCCGTTGAGATAGTGCGCACTAGGGGTGGTATTACCAGCGGGTTAGTCCTCGTAATAGTCGTTGAGGTCTCGGCAGAATTCCGAGTTTAGGTGTCCAAGTATTCTACTATTTGATTTCATACTTTTAGATTTCTAGTTGATAACCTGGGGAATCTATGTCTTGATGTGTGGTATTAGAAATTCTAAATATACTAAATTGCTATATTTAGTTGATTTCATATTTTAGATTTCAAGTTGATAACTTTGAGAATCTATATCTAGTTGCTTTGTATAGCATGCATCTATGTTGGTTAAATTGCATAGATATTGTGATTTGCGTCTTGTTGTTCAAATGTAGCTTAGGAATAATCCTATAGATTCATTTGGAACATAGACGTTAGGTGGCATGACCCACTTTGTCGTTTTTGTATATTAGATTTTAAGTTGATAACTTTGAGAATCTATATATTGTTGCTTTGTATAGCATGCTTCTATGTTACTTGAATTGCATGAATGATGTGATTTATGCTAGAAATGGTTTAAGGTAGCTTAGGATGCTCCCTGAGTCTCATTTTGACATAGACGTTAGGTGGCATAAGCCTCTTTAACATGTTTCACCTTAAGGTGATGAAATTGTAAAACGTTAGGTCGATGCATGCTCATTTCCTACGAGTAACTTTATGTTGCTCACCCCAAAGTTACTGGGGCATATTTCAGATACATGATACAAGATTGGAGATTTGCACTTGTTTTGGTGATTTGCAGAATTGAAGTTTCTTTAGAAGCATTCTTGTTCACATGCAAGTGTTAATATGTTTAAGTTTTGCCTATGAAATGTAATTTTTTCCAACTTAGAGGTTTGACATGTTAAATGTTGTAAATGAATTGTAATAAGGTCATGAGCCATTTCAGCATGTTTAAAATGTTGTTTTATGATTTCGTGTATGTTCATATCATCACACACTTGCATATAATTAAGTTTGATAATGCAATGGGGGATTCAAGTGAGACTTAAAGTCTTTTTTTTTTAGTTTTGGTGTATGTGGTCTAGTTTGAACTAGATTTTGTCCGTTTGGTTGTCATTGGTGCCATAGGGTACCATTTGACCCTTTTCATGTTAGTTTTCGCTTCTGGTTATTTCTTTGAGCTCCGTGACTTCATGGAAGGTCACATTGGTGTCTTAGGGATGGTTTATATCTCTATAGACTTTGGTTTTTAACTTTCGCTTCCGCTTTTCAGATCCGTTATCGGGTCAATTTTCGGTTCATCACTGATGCACCGGGTTGAAAAACTTGGGCCATCACAAAAGGTGTACTTATGTA